GCTGTACGTGTGTTGAACGCGGAGGTGCCGTCCGTTCGGCGCTAGGATCATCGGTGATTTGGATCACGACGAGTACGACTCCATCAACCCCGTTCACTTGAACACTTACGCTTAGCGATCTACAAGGGTATGTAGATGCACTCTCCTTCCCCTCGTTGCTAGATTACTCCATAGATTGATCTTGATGATGCGTAGAAAATTTTGAATTTCTGCTACGTTACCCAACAAGTGCGTGCTCATGCCTACCGCCAAGCACCTTGGCGATAGGGTTGTACAGGCTACCGCCATTATGTTTGGTGGTAGGGATGTTTCCTACCGCTAAGGTCCCTGGCGGTAGGCTGTTACACCCTACCGCCATGGACCCTGGCGGTAGCAAAAGGGTCAGATCTCGGAATTTTTTCAAACTAGGGTCGGATCTCGAATAGGTTTCAGAAAAGGGTCAAAACACAAAATTTTGCCGCATGTGGTCCTAGGTCGACAATGTCATCATCAAAATCCAATCATGTACACAGTTCTCTAGGATATACTTTTTTTTTCTTCGACTACCCATAGTGGGGAGTAACTTCTTAGGCTAGTCATAGTGGGAGTAACTTAGGTAGTAACATAGTGGACTCCAAGAAATTTTTGCTTATGTGGCATTTAGTTAATGAGGAGGGAGGTGTTTAGAATAACATAATATATAACTGTAACATAGCGCTTCCCAAAAAAGAATGAGTGTACAAACTAATAAATGAAGCCATCTATAACACTAGTAGTACGTTACTTTGCACTATGAAGGTAGTAACTTAGACTAGTATCATATGCATGACACTAGTATAAATTACTCCCCACTATGACCAGCCTTAGAGTAGTAACATGGATATGGGATGCAGACGAAGAGCACACGGCGACGACACCCACCAGAATCAAAGCCACTCGTCCTTTGTTTGAGGATCGATGCAACTTTTCAATAAATTGACATCAATTTCACAATACAACGCTCTGCGTATATGCCAACAGTAAAAAGCTGTTCATACTCATTAAATTTACTGGACGATGCATTTAATTGCTGTAGTGACTGATAAAGTGGTGCATGTTTTCAACTGAGAGTTGATTGAAAATGAAGGAATATGAACTTGCCAGGCAACTTACAGTGGAAAGGTAAAATAAAAGATGTAGCTACAAAGACTTAGTACAAATAACGTTTGATTAAGTGTACATATAAAATTACATGATCAAGGTTGAGTGGTTGATAATACAAATTAACTAATACAAACCTTAAATATGTCCAGAATACCATATCTCTAGCAATAAGCACTATTTTTCGTTACAAAACTACGATATAATATGTACTATGAATGCATACTCATAATGACCATGCATGCAGTGATATAACCGTGTGGTCCCATGTCAAGCATTGATTGCCAAACAGGTTGAATTGTCTCCCGTGTATGTCAGGCATTTACTATGTTGATAAAACTACGATGATTAATTATATTTTTATGTCTTTCGTCTCCAAAGTTAATATCATCAAAATCTCAGTTATTTTAGAAGAGGATAATTTGGAGATTAATATAATAAAATTTACAGATTGGTTTTCCTAGAAATAAGAGCAACTTCAATGGGGCGACCCATTTTGTCCGCCCGCGTCCGTTTTTCGTCCGCGGGCGACCCATTTCAGACCCATTTTTGAGCCGAATTTGCGTCGGCGCGAACACGAGACGGACACGCGCGCGCTCACCCTCTTTCCTCACCGGGCCCGCTGGTCGGTGGCACATTGGATTCACACCCTCGTCCGCCTGCCACGTCGCCGACGTCGCCAGCCATTTTTTCAGATAAAAATGGATACATAGATAATTCTAGCGTACACAGATAAAAAGAAAAGACCACTACTCGTCGATTTCTGACTCCGACTCGGTAATGTCCTCCTCTGATGTCTGAATGTAGGCGTCAGCATACGCCTCGTCTTCAAAGTCCCAACCCGCCGTTTCTCGTAGCTTCAATTTCAATTGAGCTGCCTGCTTCCGCGAACGCTTGTCCTCCCGATAGGCGGCTCGCTCCCTCCTCCTCGCGTCCCTCTCCGATCTCAATTGCTTGTAGAACTGGCACTCGTCGACGATGTCCTGCGGGTAGCCTTCACGCCACAGCACCAAGGCTTCCACGTCCTTCTCTGCGATGGCGAGGCGACGCTGCCGCCTCCGGTGGACACGACGATCCTCGTCGGTGAAAAGCCGCGGGAGAGGCGCCAGATCCTGCGCCCGCTGGCTCGACACGTTGGGAAAATTCATATCCTGACGAGGCCTCAGGAGGCGCCACACCGCCGCGTCGTGCGCGCGGGCCGCCTCCTCTGCGGTGTCGAAGGTGCCGAGGGCGAGACATTTCTCGCGAAACCAGATCTCGGCGGAGAAGGCGCCGAAGCGGCGCTCGCAGACTCCGCGAAAATCCGAAGCGCGTAGGCGGCGGATCGACATGGTGGCGCAGAGGCGGCGAGAGTGGGTGGCCGACAGAGTATGGAGAGAGCGCCTTCTTTTATAGTGAGCGTCTGCCGCGGCGCGCGCGCGAACCTTTCCCGTGCGCTGGAGGGCCAAAACCAGCGCGCGCGAACCTTTCCCGCGTGCTGGAGCGTCAAAATCAGGGCGACGACACGATGTTAAACGCGCGCGGTCATGAAAATGGGTCGGCCCGTTGGGCGCACTGCCGACCCAAAACTAAAAGAGGGCGGACGGCGGGCGGGCGGCCGAGCCAAACGGACAAAAAGCGGACAAAAACACCGTCCGTTTAGGTCGACCCGTTGGAGTTGCTCTAAATAATACCATGGAATTTGTAACATGAAACTTTAAGGAATTAGTACCACCTTGAAAATATAAATTTATTAATTAAAAACAGTAACAATCACGAAACCGAGCATTTACTTTAAGGCAAGTTTTAGGTTGAAATAATATATTTTCCCACTTTTACAAATAGGAACAACGGGTCGCATTTAAGTTTTGGCGGATGGTTGGGGAGTGGCCGTTGGAGATGATGGGTGTGCTTCTCTGCCACTAGTCAGGTCATTATAGCTGTTAAGATTTATACAAAAATATTTAGAGGGACATACATGATGTGTGAATCATGGAATACATCCTGACTAATATAGTGGTTGGAATCTCAATGCAAATGAGCGGGGCAGATTCCGGTGAAGGTGGTCGCCGTGTGCTCCCCTGCAATTTCGCATGGATATGTTACTAGTCTATGTTACTACATCTATAATGAGGAGTAACATATGTGTGGTGTCATGTAACACTTCATTTATTATGTTGTAGACTCATCTTGTCTTGGTATAATGTGAGTAACATACCATGTTACCAGATGTCTCTCTTTCTTGATCAATTACCTGCCATATCATCTATTTTGCTTAAATATGTGTGATGTTGCCACTTCTGTTACTCTCACTGAGAGTAGTCTCAGTTATTCAAATCCATATACGAGATGAAAATCCTTAATGTTTATTATCCCTAGATCTTCCTATTTAAATCCTTATCTTATTCAACTTTTCTAGCTCTACCGGACTCCTTGCTTAGTCACTTGAAATCTCCAGACGAACTGGGTGAGGAGTTTACAACTCGACAACTAGCAAAAAAAAGAACATTTTGTTCCACTTCGGTGTATGTATCCGGCAGTGGTGAATCTAGACAGAAACTGGAGGGTGGGCTCAAAGCCTGTATCATGCCAATATCTGTTGGGTTGGGCTTGCAAGTGGCTGAATTGGGCCATGAAACTAGTAGTAAAAAAAATTCTTACAGTGCTGGAGGGGGGGCTCAAGCCTGTTAAAGCCCCCTAGTAGATTCGTCCCTGGTATCCGGTGTATGTATGCCCTTTGAAGCAACACTACAATCCTCAGCTGGTTCCTTTGAGCAACTCTTCACGAGTCTCCAAATGAGACATGTTCGGTTCAACAACCACCTCTTTTACAAAGAAGGCCGAATCAAGCGAGTTAGGGTTTGCCCATTTCACTTCTCCACCCGCCCGAGCGCCTCAGATAGGTTGCATTTGCCTCGCCATCTTCATTCTTCCCATATTCCACCGCGCCTTGCAGTTAAATCCTCGCTCTGTCGCCAATTTCATAAAAGGTTAGGTATAAATTCCGATTGCTTGTATTTGCTGCAACCTCTTGGATCTATTGTACCAACTCTGCGCTAAGATCGTCCTTTGTTTTTCGAGGTTGAGATTCTTTTTCTCACTAGAAAGAAGATATCACAATAATTACCAAGATTACAAAACAATAATCACATATTCCGGTTACAAGGAGCATATTAGAGTTTTTGTAATGGTGGCTAATTACACCAAGGGAAGAATCAGATTCAGCTATTCTTTCTTCTTACTAGGAGCCTGTTTGGGACTACTCTGCTCCTTCAAATTCAGCTCCGCTCCAGAAAATACAAGCCAAACGGGGTAGCTCCACAATATGCCGCTCCGCAAAAAAACTAGAATCTGGTGTGCAACTCTCAGTTTTTTATGAAGCTCTTCAGGGGGTGCTCCAAAAAACTCTAGAAGCTGGAGTTGGGTGGAAATTACCCACCACTGCCACCAGTAAGTGGATACCCCTTCGTTTCTCCCCCCTCAACCAATCAAACAGATTCTTTCCACCAAATATCTCATTCTTGAAGCTGGAGCTAGATGACAGCCAAACATTCTCCTTGATAGTACTACAACTTCTAGATGAAACTGCTCCAAAGTAAATTTAATGGAGCGAAACCGATTTTTGTGAAGCGGAGCAGTCCTAAACAGGCCCTAGATAAACTAAGCTGGGGAAGAATTTTCCCCTTCTCAAAGAAAGAAGTTGGGGAAGAATTTTCAAAAGGAAAAGACAAAGAAGAAAAGAAAGGGACGGCAAACCCAAGCAAAGCCGCCACCAACGAATACCCAGTCCACACCTGCGCCTCCGCCCAATCGACTGCTAGCCAACAAACCCCACCGCCCGCCCAGCTCAGAGATCCGGCCGCCGCCCAGGATCCCGGGGAGGCGGCGCCGCCGCCGCGGCCATGGCCCTCCACCACGGCGCGCGGCTCCGCTCCCGCGCCGCGCCCCTCCTCGCCGTCGTCGTCCTCGCGGTCCTCGCCCTCGTCTCGCTCCTCCGCGCCAGCCACGGCGGGGGCCGCCTGGCCCCGCCCGTCGCCTCCGCCGCGGCCGCCCGCAACCGCAACCACACCGCCGCGCAGCGCAAGATCCTGCTCGACCCGTCCTTCACCCCGCGGCTGCCGCGCCAGGGCGCGCTGTCCCTCTCCCTCGCCCGCCGCAACGCGCTGCCGCCGCGCAACGCGGCCCGCTTCCCCAGCCTCCCCGACGGCCACCTCAAGGTCGTCCTCTACGTCCACAACCGGCCCCGCTACCTCCGCCTCGTCGTCGACAGCCTCTCCCGCGTCGACGGCATCGGCGAGGCGCTGCTCGTCGTCAGCCACGACGGCTACTTCCCCGAGATGGACGAGATCGTCAAGGGCATCGCCTTCTGCCAGGTGAAGCAGATCTTCGCGCCCTACTCGCCGCACCTCTTCCCGGACTCCTTCCCCGGCGTCGCGCCCGGGGACTGCCGGGACAAGGACAGGGCGGCCGAGAAGCGGTGCCGGGGCGAGCCGGACCAGTATGGCAACCACCGCTCCCCGAGGATCGTGTCGCTGAAGCACCACTGGTGGTGGATGATGAACACCGTGTGGGATGGGCTGGAGGAGACCAGGGACTTCGACGGGCACATCCTCTTCATCGAGGAGGACCACTACATCTTCCCCAATGCATACCGCAACGTGCAGCTGCTTGTGGATTTGAAGCCGAAGAAGTGCCCCCAATGCTATGCCGTCAATTTGGCGCCCTCCGATGTCAAGGCGAAAGGGGAAGGCTGGGAGAGCATGGTTGCTGAGAAGATGGGTAACATTGGCTATGCCTTCAACAGGACTGTGTGGAGGAAGATTCATGCCAAGGCTAAGCAGTTCTGCGACTTTGATGAATACAATTGGGATATAACCATGTGGGCAACGGTGTATCCGTCGTTTGAAGCTCCTGTTTACAGTCTGAGGGGGCCTAGGAGGAGTGCTGCACATTTTGGCAAGTGTGGCCTGCACCAAGGCCAAGACTCCAGCAGTGTTTGTGTGGATAATGGCGCGGGAGCCGTAGAACTAGATGCCATCGACAAGGTTCCTAACATCAAAGCTGATTGGCCAGTCCACATCATTAGGAAACAACCGGGGTATCAGGCTGGTTTCAAAGGATGGGGTGGCTGGGGCGATCGGCGTGACCGGGAGCTTTGCTTGAGTTTTGCATACATGTACCATGTTAAAGACACCTTGTCTGTATGATGGGGTTATAGGCACACGAATTTTGGCATTCATGATGCCCTTGTTGTAGTGTTGTTTGGCATGTTTCGATCGATTCATACACGGTTTGTGATATAAATAGTCTTTCACCCTTTTTTCTCAATTTTTGTAGAACAGTTCTCTATTCGGAGACATTGCCTTGGACTTGGGTTAACTTTCCCAACTGTATGATGTACTTTAACTCACTGATATGGATAGAGTTTATTGTTTCAAGATCATTTGCAACATCTATTATTAAGAGATTGTCATGTTTACTTTGTTTAACTGAAGTACTGCTTTCTAGGCATCTTTAACATTCAGGGATGCTTAATGCCTATTGATGATCATTGCCTCTTACTGTTGCCTTACCATGTCTAGTGACATCCGTAATGTCTAGTGACATCTGTATCTCTTGTCTGTTGTATGATTGGAAACTAATATCTAGTACTAATGGTTTCTACAATACTTCATATCTTTTTGGCCATCATGCATATGTTTATCTTCTTCAGTTTTGTATGCTTCTTTCATGGTCTTTCTATTTTTAGCTGCTTGTATTTCTTAGAACTCATCTACTCTTGATTTTGCATGCTTGTAGTATTATAGGATTTGTAGCTGGTGAAATTTTAGACAGGCACGGAGATATTGATACTCACAACAAGATATGATTTTTTTAAGTTTTCTTATCTGTTGTTAATGTGTTTAATTAGATATTATATAATTCACTTATCATGCCCTAAAGTTGTGGCCATATCATGGCCTAAAGTTTTCTTTATGTGCTTGTTACCATTCACTGTAAGATGATCGAACATTACTTAAGTAGCTAAGAAAGGATTCATGGAGTGGACAATCAGGTACATATAGCAAATTTATTTTTCTGTGCTGGTTGCTGTTAAATCTGAATGTTGGGCTGGTCTGTTCATGGACTGACCACAAATCACAACCAAACCCCAGCTTTCTCCGTCCGTTCGTAGTATATTTGACTCATCTGACCCTGGAATGACTGGAGGGCTGTTTAGGAGCACATGAAGCCTCTTCTATGAGTAATCATTCTATCTCCCTGGAATCGTCATATCCAATTATCTTTCTATTCTGTTCTAATAGTAAGCATTCTATTCTATCGTTCGTAAATTTGTTGCACTTACCGTATTATTCCTATGATGCAATCCTTGATATATTTTCGCATATCTTTTGCTTTGCAAGTAACACATTGATATTTACTCCATGTGTTAAAATCAACGTTTCAAGAATCTGCCCTGGTTAAACTTCAAGCCTGTTCTCATATCACCCTCAGGCTCAACCAGATGTCCAGATTAGTGTTTTCTCATAATCATTCATTGCTTCTTTTTAATTAACTCTTGTGAATATGCTGCCTACATGTTTATTGGATACTCAAGCTTCTGCAAGTGTATTCCCTGTTGTTTCCCTCTTGCATTTACTTCTCACGTGCACATGGTTATTCTTTCCCTATTTTTGTGGGTTGAACTACTGACTTTGAGATAATAATGCAAAGATAAACAATAATTTGATCAATAGAATGTTTATATGATGTGGACATAGACCGTGTTGACCATAGAGAAAGAAGAAACTACATGTTTATTCTTTGAGTATAACTTGTACTGTATCTGATAGGTTTGAACTACTGCGTGATCGTTTATCTGTATAGTGGAAACATGCTTCTGACTTGGTTCGTAATTCTGTTATCCTGAGGCAACAACTATGATCAGCTTGCACTTAATCACATTATTATTTTTAACATTATTAAAAAAACATTGTTCTTTTTAATTAAATTTGCAATGTCTGGCTGCATGTTTGACAAGTCCAATATGGTCATGTATCTCTGGTGGCTCTTGCTTCAAATCCTTAAGGTTTGCTAGCAGTTATTTTTTTTGACAGCCTACACCAACTTGTTTGGGACTAAAGGCTTCGTTGTTGTTGTTGTTGTAATTAGTAGCAGTTTGTGATACTGCGTTATGTAGAGGTATGAGCAAGTAACGTAACAGAATGACATTTGCTTGACCAAAACTTTTTGCTGCTCTGCAGGTTGTTGAGAAGCTTCCTCCTAGCGGAACATTATCCATGGTGGTTCCTATGTTACAGGGCGAGGTAATGACTAGTTATGTAGTTTGCTTTATTATTTCTTTCTTTAGGTAAGCATTGAATGTGATGCTATTTTTTTTTTGCTATTCCTTTTAGGTCCCGTTCTTTGCTGCTGATGAAGAATCTTCTTCAGTTGGTGCTCTTCTCATTCCTTAGAGAGAACCCAAGAGTCCGATTATCTGTCGTTGATGTCGGTTTATTAGACATTATTTAATTGACTTACCATGGTCTAAACTCTAATGTTGTCGACATATCATTATAGATTAAACATTCTTTATATGCTTGTCACCATCCACTATAAAAAGTCTTAACTGCATAATAAAACTAAGCGAGCCTAATTAGCTCAGAAAGGAGCCATGGAGTGCACAGTCAGGTATATATAGTAAGTTAATGTGTTGGCTACTGTTTGGTTTGAACTGTTGGGGTAGTCCAATCTTGGGCTGGATCACACGATCACTACCGAACCCTAGCTGCTGGTAGCCTGATATTTTCGGCACATCTGGTCTTGGAATGACTAGACAGATTTTTAGCACCACATGAAGCCTTCTCTAACCCTAATCATCATTTCCCCTTGCAGTTGTCATATTTTGACTAGGCAATTATTCATCATAGAAGTGTTGCATTTTATCCTATTATTCCTGTCATGCAATCCTCTTTTTATTGTTTATCTTCTGCTTTGCAAAATAAAAGTTGGTATTTACTGTGTTTAAGTCGACATTCCAACAATCTGCCCCTGGTTAAACTCCGAACTTGTTCTCAGTCCACATTCAAGCTCCACCAGATTGGTGTTTTGTCTCATAATTATTCAAAGCTTCTTTCTGATTGACAATTTTATTTAACTTTTACACATGCATGCCTGCATGTTTAACTGGATACTGAAGCTTCTGCAGGTGGATTTTCTGTTGTTTCGAGTACGATGAATCTGCCCCCATTTGGGCTGCAGTATGACCTCTTGCATTTAGTTCTTACATGCACATGGCTATTATTTCCCTTTTTCGTGGGCTGAACTATTGACTTTGAGATAATTACGTGAATATGAAAATTGAAAAATAATGTGATGTGGACATAGATAGCATTGACAGTAGAGAAATAAGAAACTACTTGATGGTTCTTTGAGTCAATAACATGCATCTGATAGCTTTGATGTTAATTGTCTATCTCCATAGTGGAATATATGGTTTAGCCTTGGTTCATAATTCAATTATCCTTGGTTCATAGTGGAATATATGGTTTTGCCTTGCTATTCATTCGTGGGAAATTTAATTTATCTGTAATGAATATAATGTTACTGTTGGTCAAATCTGAGATGGAATGGAATATATGTTAAACTTACTTACTGGAGAGGCTTAGATGATAGGCTCATGAGATTATGGTTTGTGTTCGAACAGATCCGTGTCTCTCTCCGAAGAGTATGATAGAGCAGTTTGGAAGCTCCATACCACTGGGGTTTATAACTCCAGTCATGAGATCATGCACTCCAAATCAGCTTCATTAAATTCATTATAACATATATTTTTATACTATTATTACATATTCGATGTTATAGATATTAGCGATTTTTTTATAAAGCTGGTCAAACTAAAAGAAGTTTGGCTAGGACAAACCTAGAACTTCAAATATTTTGATACAGAGGGAGTACATCTTAATCTATACAACAATCAATATTGGAGGAAAATTGCTGTATGACCACAAGCATACAGAAACACAAATTTCTGTTTGATAGTCAATACAGAAACAGATTGAAGATTATGTTTTATTTCCTGAAACCAAAACCATTGATATCCAATCATTTGACATGGAAGAGTGACCAGCACACACTTATATGCAGAAGGGTTGAAAGATGCAGTTGCTAAGGGTTTAAAAAATAATTTAGAAGGTGAAGAAGCAGACAGCTTATATTGTTGCCGCCTTATTCTTCAGTTCGCTTGCAATGCTTTAGAAACAAATGTGTAGAACATTTAGTTGTTGAGGATGCTGCAGCAAGATCATCGAGGATAACTTGCGGGTAATAATATTTCTTCCTCCATAGTGTGTATTGCCTGCTAGCTTCCACAACAACTGCTTCAGTTGACATTTATAGAGACCCAATTTGATCCCTGTCATATCTCCTTGATGCAGCAGTATCAGGTGCCACACGCATTCTCAGAATTTCAAGTTTCATCTCCACTTCCCTCATTGTAGGTCGCTCTTCTCCCTTCAATTTAATGCACATCGCTGCCAGGGTAGCTACTTCCTGGACTTGTCATCTCCCTCTTCCATGACTTGGGGATTGCCTTCTGCGAGTAGCTCAACCAAAAAAATCAATTAGCTCAATCAAGATTGCCTTCTGCGAGTAGCGAAACGAAATGTGATACAAGACCAACACCATTGCCGCCACTACGGTAGAGGCATGGTTTTTTTGTAGTTAGGAGTTCTATAAGTACACCAAAGCTAGAAACATCACTCTTGTCTGTTAGGCAACCGGTATAATAGTACATGGGGTCTAAGTAGCCTATTGTTCCTTGCATAGCTGTAGTCAACCCTGTTTTGACAATTGGGATGTATCTCGAAGCTCCAAAATCTGATACCTTTGCTGTTAAATTATCATCAATAAGTATGTAGGATGATTTAATATCCCTATGATAAATTGGCATCGAAGCAGATGAATGAAGATAAGAAAGAGCTCTAGCAACTTCAAGCTCAATCCTTGTTTGATCATCCCATGATAATAACATCGGGCCTTCAAAATGAAGATGGTGATCAAGTGTACCATTTGAAATGAACTCATAAACCAGTAACGGGACTTCTGTCTCGAGACAACATCCGATTAGCTTCACAATATTTCCATGGTTGATTTGAGAAAGAATCACAACCTCGTTTATGAAGTCATCACATTCTCTCAGTACGATGATCTTGGATTTCTTGATGGCAACAACCTGTAGGTCAAAAATTCTTTTATACACAACACCGTGTCCTCCGCTGCCTGCCTCACGAGTTCTACCAAAATTGTCTGTGGCCTTCTCTATATCCAACAAGGGAATGGTCATTCTTTCACCAAAATCTGTCTTCTGTGATATTAGCTGTTGCAACAATAACCCATGGTTTTACTTGAATAATCTTCTTTTCAGTTTGTTTGCTCTATTTAACTTGATTCTGTGTGCTACAAGGGGGCAGCAAGTACCAGAAGCAAAATAATCAAGCCACCACTGACTACTAGACCTATGAACAGACCTGTAAAATATGGCATCATAGGTGAAGAGCCGAAGTCACGAGTTTGGAGCATTCAAATTGTTTGAGGAAGATATGATTGTGATTATCACAACGATGCTACTGTTACCTGTAAATGTCTTTTTTGTTGTTGTGGCACTGATGCATCCCTGTTTCATCAATGGGTCTCTGTAGTGTAGGTACCATCAGGACACTGGCAATGGGAAGTTCCAGGGCTGTTGATGCAGATTCCATAACATGGATATTCTTCCGGGTGTTCACAGTCGTCAATGAGGGACATATAAATATTTACGAATATACCATATGCTAAGAAGGTAAGAATCTTTGGCTGATCCCTAGAAACGGATAATATCATATACTGAAGAAATAAGCATAACACTATCAATTAATCTGTTCTTTATTCTAGTACCTTCACATCCATTTGGTTTAGATGCATTGCCCTTGAAGCCAAGAGGGCACTGACAATCATATCCTCCATGTGTGTTTCTGCAGTGACCATAACACGGGTAGATGTCACATTCATTGATATCTGCACATACCCGCAAAAAAAGTAAATTCAGAGATAAACACAACTCGGGAGACTGAGAAACTTCATTCTATTAATGTTCTACCTTGCAGATTATGATCACCATAGTGCAACTCTACACACCCACCAGAACACCGGCAGTAATGCCCATGACAACTTGCTCACGATCAAAATTAAGACCATGACCATCAACAGAACTATGATCAAATGCAGTGGTATAGTTGTGGCAAAAACTGTGGCCACTACGGCACGAAGGCGAAGACCCATTGGTATGGCATACGGAACTCTTGATTGTCCAGCCTAGCATGGCAGGGGCCATTTGATTGAACTCATAATTCTCTGTTATGTTCAGAAGATAGTCCGAGTAATGCTCTTAATGCTTTTAGTCCGTGTGAAGAAAATATACGGATATGATCATGATTTTCCCTTGAGGAAATTGCATAGAACTGCCCACAAGTCAACACATGTACCAAGTTGGTCCTCTGGGAGATCAATTAGATCTTTAGACCGCATGCACAACGAATCAACGAATCAGTGGTCTGAGATCACCAGTTTACCGGGGATTTCGATCTCTTGCAGGTTTCTAGGCTGTGGTTATCTGATTTTTTTTCGGCTTTACTAATATTGTTTCCTACGCTGTTACGTGGTGTTGGTTGAAAACATTCTTTTTGCCGTTGCATGTGATCTGGTTTTCAGGTGCTGTGGCAGAAAGTGCCTCGCTTACTAAAGCCGTCCAGAGACACCTGATATCAGTTTTGCCAAGATCACAGCAAGAAGAGCTCGGCTGGTGTCCCGAATGCTGATAATATCTGCGTCTTGGCTGCTATTCCTGGTTCTGTAATGCCTCTACTTTTGCTGTTGTAGTTTTAGAGTTTACCTCATAGGGGTGATGCACTGAATCTTGCAAGAAACTGGTGGTTTCATGAATGGAATGGAACCTGGCGGGAGCCTTTCGTTCGGAAAATAACAATTCAGTTATCCTCTAGCATCACCTATGATCAGTTTATCACTTGATCAAATTGTTCTTTTTAACTTGCAAATTTGTAATCTGGGCAGTCCAATATGGTCATGCGTTTGGCGGCATTTGCTTCAAATCCTTCGGGACACTCCCAGCAATGCCTCTGCTACTCTGACCCCTCACTGTCCACTCTCCAGAGGTTAACGGTTTTTCTTGAGTGGTACGAAACATATTTTTTTACATTACACCAATTTTTTTTACATTGTATAAACATGTTTTAACAAGTTCACAAACATAGTTCTGAAACACATGGACATCTTTCTAAATGTCACGACCTTTTTGTTAAAATCGTGCAAGTTTTTTTTCATGTATATTTATTGAGAGATGCGATTTTTTTAAATACCACGGATTTTTTTGAATGCTATCAATATTTTTTACAAGTTGTGCGGACATTTCTTTACACTC